TTAGTGGAGCTGGTGGAGATGCTGAAGATTGAGAGGGTTATTTATGTTCTTGGTGGTGGAGTGTTTGACTATTTCTTCTTTGGTTGATGAATTTCTTCTTTAGGTGTTCTTGGGGATATTTGTAGATGTTGTGGATATCTATTTCTATTCTTGATAGTGGATGGTTGTTTTATAGATGTTTGTGGATAGTTGGAATTTATATTTTGATTCCTTTTTGTATGGATAGATTGAATCATTGGTATTACTATAAACATCATATTCTATGGAATGAATAATTCAGTTATCACTTTTATTTGTTTAAATGCATATGTAGAATTAGCACTTTTGGCAATTCTTGATAATAAATGAAACAAATGTGCATTCGAAGGTTGCTTGTTAAAATCACTAAATCATATGATCGGTTTGACACCTCAACTTAGCAACCAAGACTTGAAACCACATTTCTTGGAAAACTGGTATTATCTTTATGCTTAAATTGTCGAATGCACATTAGTATTTGTCATTCTTAAGGTACAAGATGTCATTCTTAAGGTATTTGTCAAAAATGGAATCGCTATATAACCAACATTCCTTGAAACACCCGACATAACCAGTGGAGATGATAGAGAATACCATGGTAGGTTTTGAGCTTTGTGATGCTTTTTGAGAGGATATCCACAATTACTCAAAGTAAGCTATTTCACTTTCATTTTTGCAATAATCTCATTAACCTNGAATATCATGGTAGGTTTTGAGCTTTGTGATGCTTTTTGAGAGGATATCCACAATTACTCAAAGTAAGCTATTTCACTTTCATTTTTGCAATAATCTCATTAACCTTGTTTTGATTGACTCAACTAAAGTGATCTATTTACATCTCCCACAAGGAACTTTTGCATACGGCACATACATGTACACATACTTGAGAAAGGATCTTAAGTCATCTTTGATTTAACTTTGAGCCTTAGACAATTCTTTCACAAAGTATATCCCTAGTCAGCCATGCTTGAGCTTTCAATAAATGAGTTCTTTTTTGAAAAACCCATACAATAACCAAGCCACAAGAAAATATACTTGACATACCTTGCTATCTAATTTTCTTACACCCTCTTATAAATCAGTATGATACAAAAAAGTAAGAGAAAGAGAAAAGACAATGGTGGCTACTATTCAATGAAAGAAAAGTCAATGGAAACAACTGAAAAGGAAAAAATACAAGACACACAGGGAATTGCCAAGAAAGTGAAAAATGAGAAAAGTGAAAAAAAGAAATACAAATTCTTGGAAAAAAAGACCGAAAAGTAAGAAAGAAACATGCTACAATACATAAGGAAAAGATAGCTTTTTGAATACCACTGACCTATGGCCACATTACAACCTACAAAAAGCCCTAATTGATCTCAAGTCTGATGTATGTTTAAGTCATTAACTACACGCGGGATATGCTAAATAACATTTCTTTATCTGTATCAATTTTCCTCCATGAGATTATGTCAAAACACGATTAGTTTGTTTCCTTAAACTTCACTCCTTTACTAATTGCGCATGTGATTTTTTCGATTGACCATCTCTAATTACATGCCCTGTGAGAAATAAGTCACTATAATCGGAGTGAATTTTTGTTCAGAGCACTCTAAGAGAGGTTTGTGAAATCAAAACTATCCATGGAAGGTGGCAAAGTAGAATGTTTGGTTATATAGCAATTCTTGTTTCTAGAATGATTACTCCCATTACTCAAGGAATCCTATATGCCAATTTGACAGATGCCAATTTTTGCACAGAATAAAAACCTATGAAAGAGGAGCATGCGGGATGTAAGTTGAAATTGAGGGTTGAGTGTCTCACTGACCACAATGCTAACTTATTTTAACTAACAACCTCAAATACATATTTGTTCGACCAAAATTTGTGGGTAGCTTCATTGAAAACCCTCACGAGACAACACTCGTCTATTAGGGTAAACCTAGTGGTTTAATGGCTTATTGCATATGCTAAATGCAACCGGATGACCTACGAAAAAGGGCATTAGAAATAGATTTACATTACAATGTTGTTGTATTACTAGAGACTAACAATATTTAGGTTGGGGGGTGTGATTAGTGCTTAAAGTTACCATTTTACTATGCCTTTTTGGGACTAATTGTGCTTTGAGGGAGTTTAAGTAATGACATTTCAATTTCTAAAGTGAACAAGAGTTCAAGGACAACAAACATCACACTTGGATGTAACACCAGTGGATAAAGGGGCAAAATTGGAATAGCTTGGCACAAAGGAAGAACGTTCGAACGTGGATCAACGTTCGAACGTTCCCCTGAAGTGATTGAGGACCAGGCTGCTAAGACATGATGTGTTGCAGTCATAAAGGGAAAATGCTGAGGTACTTGAATACCACGTTCGAACGTGCTCTGGAAACCTGAGAAGATTAGACTACTGAGACCTGCTAAAGTGTTGCAGCAAAGACAGCAGAACCATAGAATTACTTGAGTACAACGTTCAAACGCCACTCCACGTTCGAACGTTGTCATAAGTTACTGAGGACCAAGTTGCTGAGTGCAAGGCTAGAGTTGTTCGAGACGTATGGTAGTAACCGTCACAGAGACCACAAGCCACTTGAGTAGGGGGTTCAGACCCCACCTAGCGTTCGAACACCCTTAAAGCAAAGACATAGATAATGTTCGAACGCCACTCCACGTTCGAATGCCCTTAAAGCAAAAACAGACACAACTTTCGAACGACAGATCACGTTCGAACGTCCCACTAACTGGCTGCAGATTTGTTGGCTTTTCACTTGGACTTGGGCGGCAAACACTATTCCTTCACCCCCCCCCTCCTTTTCCTTACCTATAAATACCCCCATTGTGGAAGCTTTATAAAGAGAATCCTTTTCTTTTGAGAAGTAGGGTAGACAGCTAGTTCTTGTACATTTCTTGTTTATGTTTTCATTTTGTATTTGTATCAACCATGATGGAGGCTTAGACTCCCCTTGTAGTTGTACTTGTTTTTATTTACAAGTATCAAGAGAGATAACTCATCTTTTGGTTGTAGTGGAGACCCTCCAAAAGTAACTAGTTTTCTTCTACTTTATTTCACTTCCATTGCTTGAGCTTCCTTCTTCCTTAGAGGAGTGAAACTCTTCCACTTTTATAGAGCTTTACCAAAGCCGTGAAGGGTGAAACGTGATTCACTTATTCTTTGGTGAAGATTGGCCTCTCATTTATTGTACTTTACTTTGTAAGTTCTCTACTTGGAGGGATGAGCATCACTCACTTTTATAGCTTTATCCAAGCCATAAAGAGTGAGTAGTTCCTCATTCACTCTTTAGTAAGAGGTGATGAATATGTAAAAATTATCCGGGAGTTATATTTGTATAATCCATTTATGCTTTAATGCTTTATATTTCACTTGTTCATTGAATGGTTGAATGTATCTAGCAAATCTAAGGTACTTTATATAACCATGAGTTCTTTCTATGTCACGGATGACTCTTGCATGAAAAAACCTGTTGGTTCAAGGCAAGTACCTAGACGATATCTGCATGATGCATTTCAATCTTCACTATTATCGTGCTTTATCTAAAGAATGGAACATTAATGTCATGGTTGGATGCCTTGTAGAAACACTTGCTTGTTTGTAGATGGGTTAAATCTTAGCATAGGCAATTCTTGTCCACTTCTAGAAAAGTATCGGAATCATGTGCTTAATTCTCACAGTCTATCTTTATCTTCTGATTAACTTGCTATTGACACGGGAGTTAATTGAGTTACAAAACACAAGTATAATAAACCAGATGATTAACTATATGTTCTGATCCTCAAGCTAAAGGGTGACTGTTTTACATTTGAATTTATCTTATATTTTGTCTAGAAAACTCTTAAAAAGAATCTTCTATTCTATTCAAGAAATCCCACCACTCCAAACTCTCAAAATTTCCAAGCACTTGTTCTCTATTATTGTTTACTTCAAAACATCAATCATAGTTCTCTATGGATTCGACTCCAGACTTAACCGAATTATTACTATAACTTGACCGCCTGCACTTAGGNGCACTTGGTCTCTATTATTGTTTACTTCAAAACATCAATCATAGTTCTCTATGGATTCGACTCCAGACTTAACCGAATTATTACTATAACTTGACCGCCTGCACTTAGGTGTACACATTTCGGGTCAAGTTAGACCTAACCACTGAAGGTGACAGTGGTGGCTAGATAACTCTATTAATGAGGGAGTGCAAAGCATTAGGAGAGAGTAAGAGTGCAAGGGTATGCTCAAGGTGTAGTGTGTGTTCCCTACGCAAGGGATTTATAATTTACAGGCACACAGCCCTAGCTATGGTGGTGTCGTGAAATTCAAGCTACAAATATTTCGAGGAGCAAAGCTACAATTGGGGATAGGCACTATCTCTCATAAGCATTGACTTTTCCTAGACTCTTAAGTCTTGGACTGGACTGAGGCTCTGAACTAAGCATAGCCTGTCTTTTGTTGATTTGGGCTCAACCCATGAACTAGGCCCAAACCTAGTTGGATCTAGGCTCATCATTTTTCCCTATGCCACAAGCCATTATGGCGACAAGAGGTTGAGGGCATGAGTGAGCTCATTCATCTGGGTAGACCAGGTATCTTGTTCCATATGGCTTCTTCAGATTTTCATTACATTTTCGAAGCTCATTCCCTCATTTTCCCCTATACCATTGCTGGACACCCATTATGCTAGCCGACATCCTCCTTGACTGGGTCTTCCATTAGGTTTGAATATATTTAATCTTTTTACAATAGGACCCCATTTTTCCTTTTGGGGCGTCATCCTTAGGGTTTTAGAGGTTGTCATATATAGAGCCTGAGCCTTCCCCATTTAATTTTCTTCACTCAAAACCCTTCCCTTGAGACTAAAGCTTCAAATTTCCCTTAATCTCCTTCATTCCATAGGAAATAGGGAGAGGTTGAAGAAGGGGAGCATGGAGGCCATAGGGAGGACACGAAGAGGATCTCCTCAGTGAGAAACATGTGTGTCAGGGGAAACCATGGAAGACACCATGGCATTGCCATGGCCAGCGATAGGCAAGGTGGCGCTAGAGGGTAAGGAAGCACAGACACAGGTGACGCCAAAGGCATGGGATGCTGGAGTAGTGGGCAGCGCTGGTAGAGGTACAGGTGTAAGCATAAAAGGTGACGCAGACATAGGCACAGAAGGCAACGTAGACATAGGCACAGGAGGTGATACCTGAATGGGCTAGGGTGCTGGCCGCTGACATTGGGGCTATCGTTGCTGCTGCAGGCACTAGCAGGAAGCTGGGCGACAGCTCCAGTGAGCTAGGCTCTGGCGAGCAATTGTTTGGCATTAGTGGAGAGCAGTAAGTTGGCGTAGGCATGCTGAGTAGCAAATACAACGTCCTAGGTTTTGTTGGGGGGGGAGAGTGTGATGCCTTTCGACTAGTTAAGGCAATTATGCTCGTCCTTTAATCCTTTCATTATTTTTTGCACCTTTTTGACATTCTGTCTGATTTTTATGCCTGCCCAATCTGATAAGGATACGATGGCGAACCCTGCACAAGCTTCTTAGCAAGGCAAGGGAGCAGTAGACAGTAATGGCTTGAAGGTAACTTTGATTTTCAGCTCCATAGATTGTGATAATGACATTGCTAGTATTGTACTTTCCTTCTATATCCCTCCTACGGTTCTGTATCGTCGGACCGAGAAGGAAAAGCCGACATGTTATGATTCCTCTTGGGAGATTGTTTTCTATGAGGAAGTCCTGGAGTCAGGGTTGAGGTTTCCTGTTCCTAGACCCATTTTTAAGGTTCTAGGCCAAATGTAGCTTGTCCCAGGGTGATTGACTCCGAATGGCTAAAGGGTGATTTTGGCATTCTTATCATTGTCGCAATTGATTCATGGTGAGGAAATCCCTCTGTCTTTTGAGAAGTTCCTAGCGTGGTATGTACTTTTGGAGAACCCTGTTCCCCATCAAGGATGGCACTGTTTTGCCTCGAGATCAAAGAAATTGATCACTAGACTACCCTCCAACTGTCATAGTTAGAAGTCTAGGTTTTTCTTCGTAGGAGGAGAGTGGGCTATTGAGGAGGACCGTGAATTGGTGCCATCAAGATGTGATACTCCTCCAAAGACCAAGTTAGGTATGAGTTTTCTCCCTATTTTTATGCTCGACTATCATATCTTTCTTGTATTCATTGCACATTTGATTTCCTTGTAGCTTCGCATGCGCTAAAGGTAGAGCATGAGAGTAGGCTCTAGGCTGTGAGGGATCATCCTACAAAATACTTTGTAACCCTTATGTCTGATTTGGGTCACTCCAAACCGTTCCACTGACAAAAGAGGAAAGGTATTTGGTTCTTTGGATAAATTTGATGACATTTGTAAGTTCTCTCTCTTATCCAAAATTTGTAGGTGTTGTTGTTGATAGAGCAATAGTGGAGGCTCTCAATGCTTCTAGGGTGACGTCTTCCCCTTCTCCCAAGAGGGTCAAGCTTGATGCCCCTAGTACTTCTCAGCCGAGGAATAATGGGCATGTTGTTTATTGGAAGGTGAGTTCTTCTCATCACGTGTTCCCTTTGAGTGCTAGGTTTAGCCCTAGGGCTATTTTAGGGGCTGAAACTCCCATATGGGCTTTTGCCAAGACCAAAGCTCCTCGTAGCTATCCTACTTCCAATAGTGGTTCGGTGTCCATGGTACAAGACGTGAACCTGACCAAGGAGCAGCTTTAGAAATTCCTAACAGTTATAGATATTAGAGAGATCAGCTCTCGGGGTCCATAGGGTATCATTGATACCACGATGGAGGGATTCGCTATGGTACCTTTCCTTTCTATTCAACCTTGATTTCTACACTTCTTTTTTTTTTTTTATGTTTTGCCTTTTGGATATTCATAGGTGGCCACTACTTTTCCATGCCTTTTTTCAAAGACAGCCAAGCTTAGAGAGGTATTAAGGGCTCTAGTAAAAGAGAGATAAGTGCGTCAGGCTGATTAGGAGTAGTTAAGGTTGGCTCATGAGAGAGCAACACCTCTTGAGTCCTAGCTTTTAGCGTCCCAAGAGAGGGCCACCAATTTGGAGGCTAATAGGGAGACTACCTACACGAGAGCAGAGATAGAGCTATGAGAGCCCTCAAGAGGGTCACAAGAGCTAAGGCAGAGCTACGGATAGCTCGAGAGAGGACTGACATAGCCGAGGTAGATCTACAAATAGCTCGTGGGAGATCCACCAGGGCAGAAGCTCATTCCATTGAGATGAAGAGAAAGAGGGAGGCTATAGAGAGGGGGCGTTCATGATCCCAAGTGCGGCGTTGCAAGGGATTTTATTGATGGTTATGAGAAAAAGCCTCAGCGACTTTTCATGATATTGACTTCTCTAGCTTTGTCCCATATGAGACACCAAGGATAGGTGGTGATGAAGAGAGTTTTGATGAGAGTGGATTGCGAAGCAGTGAGTGATCGTTGGGTATATGACAATTTTTATCTTTACTTGTCTATCTTTTTTGTTGTCAGATCATGTTCTGACTTTTGTAAGTTGTTTACAAACTTCTATGGAATAAAAGAAGGACAATTCTAGACAAAATAATCTTTGCAAAGTTTTATTTCATAACTAAAGTAATATATAACAAAATAAATAAATTGATTGAACTAACTAATGTCATGACAAAGCAATGAGAGTCACTAGTTTTTCCTTGTTATTGATAATACTTTTTCAAGTGTTCGGCGTTCCATGGATGGGCCAAGGTTTTCTCTTCAGAGTTCTAAATTCTATAGGTGTCTGGTCTTACAACTTTTATCCCGATGTAGGGTCCTTCCCAATTAGGGCCTAGCTTCCCTTCTCGAGAGTCCTTGTTAGGTAGGATTACTTTCTTGAGGACTAGGTCTCCAGGAAAGAAGGAGCGAGGCTTCACCCTCAAGTTGTAGTATTTAGTCATGCGGCGCTTATACTTTACATTCCTGACCATAGCTATTTTCCTTTTCTCTTCTACTAAGTCGAGGTTGATATGGAGTTCTTCACTAGTGGTTAGGTCATGGTGTTAGACCCTTAGGGAGTGTACCTTGATCTCAACTGGTATGATCGCCTATGTTCCATAGGCTAAGGNCTCTACTAAGTCGAGGTTGATATGGAGTTCTTCACTAGTGGTTAGGTCATGGTGTTAGACCTTTAGGGAGTGTACCTTGATCTCAACTGGTATGATCGCCTATGTTCCATAGGCTAAGGAAAAAAGGGTCTCACTCGTGGGGCTCCTAGGTGTTGTCCGGTAGGCCCATAGTATTCCAGGGAGTTCGTCCACCCACTACCCTTTGGCGCTTTCCAACTAGTCTTCAGGTTGCACAAGATTGTTCTAATAATGACCTCCGTCTGCCCGCTCACTGGGGGATGGGCTAGACTGGAGTGGGGTTGCTTGATTTGTAAGTTTGCATAGAAGCCATTGAAGAGTTTGTTGTCAAATTGCTTAGCTTTGTCACTTATTATAGCATGAGGTACTCCAAAATGGCACACTATGTTCTTCTAGATGAAGTCCTTTACTTTTTGATATGTTATTCTAGCTAAGGACTCAGCTTCCGCCCACTTTGTGAAGTAGTCAATGGCTACTACCAAAAATTTGCATTGGTCATGACTCATGGGTAGGGGGCCTAGGATGTCAATCCCCCACTTAGAGAATGACTAAGGGCTCATGATGGTGGTTAACTCTTCTGGTAGTTGTCTAGGCACCGTCATGAAGCACTAACATTTATCAAATTTTTTTTTCAAATTCTCGGGCATCTTTAAGCATGTTAGGCTAGTAGTAGCCTTACCTCATTACCTTGTGAGCTACTGCGCGCCTCTAGAGTGGTTTCCACATATTCTCTTGTGGATTTCTCTCATAGCATAATCAAACTCCTCTAGGAAAAGGCAGTAGAGTAGTGGTAGTGAGTAACTCCTCTTGTAAAGGGTGTCACACAAAATGACGCACTTGGGTGCCCTTAGTCTCAATTTCTTGGCTTCAATTGGGTTTTCTAGGAGAGTGCCTTCTTATAGGTATTCCTGGATGGGTGTCATCCAGTTGGCATCAGAGGATGCGCAGTTGACGTTGTCCTCATCTACTTTGAGCCTGCTTGGCTCAAATTGGTGACCCATGAGTGCGTGCCCTGTTGGGATATTTGCGAATGCGACTTGGCAAGTGCATCTACCATGGCGTTATCCTCCATGGGCATATGTCGGATCTAGAAGTGGTTGAAATTTTTTAGCAAAGTTCGTACCACTGATAGATATTCTTGCATATTTTCCTCCTTTGCCTCGAACTCTCCCTTAACCTGGTTAATTATAAGTTGGGAATCGCTATAGACCGTAAGATAGAGGCCACCATTTTAATTGCGAGCTTTAGGCCTCAGATAAGGGCCTTGTATTATGCCTGATTGTTAGAGGCTACAAAATGGTGAGATACAACGTATTTGGGTGGAGTGCCATGGGGACTGATGAATACCAGTCTTGCTCCATTGCCTTCTCTAATAGAAGATCCATCTACGTATAGTTTCCAGCACGTTGCCACATCGGTGGGTGTATAAGCTTTGACAGTTGGAGATGCCTAATTAGGTATGGGAGTACAGTTAGGTAGGAGGGTGGCAGGCTGAGGTACAGTCGACGAGAGTGCAAGGGCATCCGACGCTGATGATATTGGAGGACTAAACACCAAGGACCTAGGTGCCTCAGGCCAGGGAGTCCAAGCGTTGTGTATTGAGCAAGTGACTACAAGGACGCATGTCATTTATTTTTGGGAGCTTCTTTCCTCTATTAATGTAGAGTCGACCACAAAATCTACAATTGCTTGAACCTTTATGGCAGCCCTTGGCTGATACTGCACATCGAACTCGCTTAACTCAATGGCCCATTTGAGAAGTCGTCCAGAAACATTTGGCTTTCCAATGATGCCTCTGAGTGATTGATCTGTGATAACCATGATGGCGTGACTATGAAAATAGTGTCGTAGGCGCCTGGCTGTAGTAACTAGGCCTTCAATTTTTGGAAGGCCTCTTCTACATCTGGTCCCCATTGAAAAAATTTTCAAAGAATTTTAAAGAAAGGTAAACACTTATTTGCTAACATGGAAATGAACCAATCGAGGGCCTCTTCTCTTCTGTTAAGGCATTGGACTTCCTTCACAGAGGTTGGGGATCCCATGTCGAGGATAGCTTTAATCTTGTCTGGATTAGCCTCGATGCCCCTCTTATTAATCATGAAGCATAGGAACTTTTCTAAGCTTACACCAAAGACACTTCTCAGGATTTAGCTTCATCCGGTAAGCTCTCAAGATGTCAAAGATCTCCTGCAAGTCTGCTACATGATCTGCTATAGCTAAACTTTTTACTAGCATATTGTTCACATAGACCTCCATGGTCTTCCCGATCTGTGCCTCAAACATTTTATTCACGAGGATGGTACGTGGCTCTGATTTTTTTTGTTCGAAGGGCATGACCCCATAATAGTGGGTTCCTTTTAGGGTGATAAAAGAAGTTTTCTCTTGATATAGAGTAAACATGTTAATTTGGTTATATCAAGAGTAAGCATCCAAAAAACTAAGTAGCTTATGTCTAGCGATGACATCAATGAGG